GGCCGGCGATTTCGACGAAGGAGCGTCCGGAAGGACATGTGACGACTCCAGGCTGGACGCCGCTTCTTCCACGGTGAAAGCTGTAGTATTTCCTCAGCAATCAGCACAGATCAGCTCCAGGCATGACGAAGCAGATATCGTCCTCTTTTGGAAGACCAAACAAAGTAGTTTGGCTTTCACAACGAAGCACACAGCGTCTTTACGACATGGCAGCGGAAACAACAAAACTACAGCGAGAATAAAAGTTACTCCTTTCTTTGTGTGAACATTTGGGCTGTGTAATGCAAATCTTCCCACATAGTGATGTAGATATGTGGGGGCGTGTTAGAACAAGCCGTTTTAGGTAGGTGGTGGTTGACTCTTAACTTTTATAAAGAATATCTCTTTGGATTTGAGACTTTAGTCTTTGCAACTTTACAGATCTTCTTTATGCACCAAGAGCTTGTAACACTCCAAAGAGAAAGGAAAACTTGAAATCGCATCATATTTGTGTTCTGAAGATGAACGAGGGTCTTACGGGTTTTGGAATGACATGAGGGCGAGTAATTAATAACAGAATTTTCACTTTTGGGTGAACTATCCCTGTAAGTGTTTATTGTAAAATAGGGGTTTAATTTAGTGAAAAAACATTGGAAATATGAGAAATGTGAAATCACAAAACCGGCCAGACTCAAACCTGTATTTCAGTAAAACCAAAGCATACAGATGCTGACAGGTAAGCTTACCCTGGACTCTAGAGGGTAGCTGCTCTTCAGGTGAGGCAGACAGGCTTTGTTTCGCACCTGTAGTTCTGCGACACGCATCCAGTCGTCTGCAGTATGCTCTGGTTTATCCTCCACTCCGATACCAGGCAGATCATGTGCATTAGCATTAAACGAATAGTTCAGCTCAAAGTTCAAGCTCTCATTGCTGGTGTCCTGCTGTGTTTCCCTGCATCTCACATCCTCATTGTCATCGGTTATCTTCCTCCGCTCCTGCAGATGCCTTTCAGTGACGGCCAACTAAAACAAACACAGTTGCACATGAAACTACACTGAAACCTCAAAAAGACAGCAGGATTCAGTGTAAACCAACCCGAGCCTCCAAGCTTTTGACTCTGGCCTTCGCCTGGTCTTGTTCCACCTGAAGAGCTTCGACTTCTCTCCTGCTGGCCTGCAGGGAGTTCACAAGAGATTTGTTCATCTCCCGTGCCTCCTTGTTTTTACCACTGTAATGCTGTAATTGTGTGAACATGATCTTCAGCTTCTCCATGAGCTCCTCATTCTGCTGCTTCCATTGTCGAGCCATGTTTTTAAGAGCAAGAATGGAGCCGTTTTGCTTTTCCACCTTCAGCTCCAGCTGAGCTCGCAGCCTCTGGGATCTCAGCTGTTGATTCTTCATTTCAGCTTTAAGAGAACTTATTTGAGCATCTCTCTCTGAGGCAAGAGCGGAAATTTCGGTATGATGTTCCCTCACAGTCCTCTCGAGACCCTGAGCTTTTTCTCTTAGCACGGTTTGATGGCAAAGCTCCCGTTTAAGCTCAGATTCCTTCACCTCAGCCAACTGATTCTGAAGAGATGTCAATTTTTCCTTCAACACACCATGCTGTGCCTCTAAAACAGACAGTTCTTGTTGTTTCCGCACTCCATTTTCACTGTAACAGCAGATCTGCTCTTTAAGAGACGTTACCTCCGCTGACAGAACCAGCATCTCTTCTTGTCTTTCTGAAGCATTTGAAGCAGCAGACTCAAGCTCTTGCTGAAGTTTCTTAACGATGTCCTCATGCACTTGGCAATTTGATTTGATCATTTCTTTTAATTCAATATTTTGTTCCTTCACAAGCTTCAGCTCATGGTCTACAGAGTCATACTTGTTCCTCAAATTTGTGATTTCTTCATCTTTTAGGGAAATCTGTTCAGACAAATCCAGAATCTGAGTTAGGAAGCTCTCGATTTTGGTCAAAGCCTGAAAAGAGATAAGGTTATCAAAAGTAGTGGCTTATTTATTTTTTTGCATACTAGCAATTTATACAGTCAACAAAATGACGAGAAATTCAATAGACACTTCAAAATATTTAAATCATTTTACAAAATGAGCCCAGTGTGAAAGAGGAATTGGTTTTAAACAGGTTAGCAAAACAAAGGAGAAAAAAAAAAAAGTTGTATCTCACCTGAGCAGCAAAAGTTTGCTTCTCCTTTGTTAGTACATCATTCACTTTCTTTTTCTGAGTGTTTTCGGTTTTCAAGTCTTGGCATTGTTTTACAACCTCATGCACTCTGCGGATAAGACTGTACAGGAGAAATTTATTTATTTATTTTTAATTACTGGAAACCCAAATTTGTCCTTTAGTGCACCTCACCTCTCGTTCTTCTCCTGGAGCTCCAGCAGTGCGGCTTTATGGTCCTTCTCCAGCTCTCCTGGTTCCCGCAGCATTCGCTCCACCCTGTGCTGTAATTGCGAAATCACACCCTCTGTGTGCAAAAGAGAGAGAAATTCAACCAACATCATATCAGAGCACGACAGTTTCTCTCACTCACTCAATGCAGAATAAAGGAAACCTTTCTCTAAATTGATGCTGATCTGATTGGCCAGTTCTTTCTCCAGCTCGTCTCTCACGTCTCCTTCACGTGCCAATACTTTCCGGAGTCTCTTCAACAACTGTGGCGTGCTCATAACATCCTTCACCGAAGAGCTGGAGATCAAAGATGAAAGCGTGTTATAATGCAATCTGCCATTCAGTCACAGTCAGTATGTGAACCCACTGATCATTGGCATGAATTGGCCATTTAATTTTCTCTGTTAAAATCGTAGGGCAGAAAAGTGTAAGGGAAAAAGTTAACTGGTAACAATGTGTTAAGAATGGGACTCAAAGATTTGAAAACAAATATTTTCTCTGATGGCCCAGTCAGGCGAGCAGTTCTGTTTTTTTATGTCCTGCCAACGTTTTTCCTCCTCAAATGATGAATAAAAAGATTTTTGAAAAAATCTTTAAAAATTTAAATTTTACAATAAGCTGGATATTATATAGTTATAATGCATCTCAAATATAGAAATAATTATCTTCCTTTCACTAAGGCTAATTTTTTTTGACCAAAAATACAGTAAGATCAGTAATATTGTGAAATCTTTTAATTTAAAAGATTTCTATGTGAATGCATTTTAAAATGTAATTTATTTCTGTGACACTCACTCACTCAATGCAGAATAAAGGAAACCTTTCTCTAAATTGATGCTGATCTGATTGGCCAGTTCTTTCTCCAGCTCGTCTCTCACGTCTCCTTCACGTGCCAATACTTTCCGGAGTCTCTTCAACAACTGTGGCGTGCTCATAACATCCTTCACCGAAGAGCTGGAGATCAAAGATGAAAGCGTGTTATAATGCAATCTGCCATTCAGTCACAGTCAGTATGTGAACCCACTGATCATTGGCATGAATTGGCCATTTAATTTTCTCTGTTAAAATCGTAGGGCAGAAAAGTGTAAGGGAAAAAGTTAACTGGTAACAATGTGTTAAGAATGGGACTCAAAGATTTGAAAACAAATATTTTCTCTGATGGCCCAGTCAGGCGAGCAGTTCTGTTTTTTTTATGTCCTGCCAACGTTTTTCCTCTGAAACCACAAAAGAATGATCCATTTTAATTAGCTACGTATCTTTATATGTGAATGTAAATGTGTCATTTTTGTCCGTTTCTTCTATAATGAAAACCAAATGATGAATAAAAAGATTTTTGAAAAAATCTTTAATTTTAATTTTACAATAAGCTGGATATTATATAGTTATAATGCATCTCAGATATAGAAATAATTATCTTCCTTTCACTAAGGCTACATTTTTTTTTACCAAAAATACAGTAAGATCAGTAATATTGTGAAATCTTTTAATTTAAAAGATTTCTATGTGAATGCATTTTAAAATGTAATGTATTTCTGTGACGCGCAGCTGAATTTTCAGCATCATTACTCCAGTCTTCAGTGTCACATGATCTTCAGAAATCATTCTAATATACTGATCTGCTGCTCAAGAAACATTTCTGATGATCAATGTTGAAAACGGTTCATATTTTAGCGGAAACTGTGATACTTCATATTTTTTTTAGGATTCACTAATGAATAGAAAGTTCAAAAGAACAGCATTTATTTGAAATTGAAAACTTCTAATTTCTGTCAATTTTGATTGATTTAATGCATCCTTGATAAATAAAAGTATTAATTTATTTCCGACCCCAAGCTTTTGAATGGTAGTATATACACTATAACAGGACCTACCTGACTGAACTGCAGGCCACCGTGAAATGCTCTTGAAAATGAACTCTGGGAGGGTTTTGGACTTGGCTGAAGATCGGGGACTCGTCATCAGTGTACAAAGGCGAGCAGCAGCTGTTCTCGCTGCTGGAGGTGGAGAAAGTCATGACAGCTAGAGAGTGTGACACAGAAAGAAGATCAATAGACCTGCAAGCATGGAATATAAACATTAACATCACTCGTTTATTTGTTCACTTTAACACCATGCCAGCACTCAAGGCTTTACCGTCCAATTTTAAAACTGAATTATTAAACTACTTTTATGTTAGTGTATAAGCAGAGAAACACGATTTCTTCAAAAGACTTGCATCAACTCAAAAAGGTGTTTTACAGGCAGCAAATTAACAAATGTGATCATGTGGCTTCTTACAGGCTTTGGTGAGAAATCTATCTAGGCCTTCGTCTAAGGACAGATCATCAGCATCATCTTCTACAAAGTGAAACATGGATGCGATCATCAACTGACACAGAAACACAGAGAGGGAGAGAATGATCAGAAAATGCACAGACGTCACAGAACTGTCGGTCAGTACTGAACACTCACCCCTGTCTTTGTGTCCAAAGGCACCATGTTGTATGTTTTAAAACCACAATAACAAAGAACAAGGACCACCTGTACACACACACGAAAAGTATATATTTTTTTTTTTACAAACACAACACTAACAATGCACATTCAAATGTATTTTTTCCAATGTGGAAAATATTTTTTACAAATTCTGTTTTAAAAACGCATTCTCCAAGTTTCATGTTTTTGGGAAAAAAAATTTTATTTAAGAAATGTTTTTCTAAATTTAATATCTTGAATACATGCAAGTAAGTCTTATTTTGAAAATGTTTCCAAATAAAAGGTAAATTAATTTAAATGTCAAAAAGGCTTCTTGTGATTCAACCATAAATGATCTAATATTTAAGAAACTTTGACTTGTGAGACACAGTTATGAGGATCTTTCCATGTCATTTCATGGTTTTCTGGTTAACAAAATGACTTCCTTCTGGCATTACCAAGCAAACTTTGATTTGGAGGTTTTGGCAAACATTAAGTTTTTATTTTGTATTATTATTTATTTATCTTTTTTCCATGGTTTTAAAGAAGAAGAAAAACTAATCATTAAATCATTTTTGAAAGTTCTTTGAAAATTAGATTTTTTTTTTATTAATTTACTTATATATATATATATATATATAAATAAAAAGGTTAAACAACCTTTAGACAATCTTAAAAACAAATGCTTGTATGTGTGTTTTTTGTTGGGAATAATACGTTATACAACAGGTTTTTATGGCTCATGTAGTATGATATAGTGAGAATATGCAGCTCATACTCAATTTTTCTTAAAAAAAAAAAAAAATGTATTGATAATCATGTAAACCTAGTGTTCATCTTGAAATATCAGTAACGATACAAAGTTATTCATACACTTACTTCATAAAAATCAGTAAATATTTCACAGCAGAAGGACAGAAGGCATGTAGTAGATTGACAGTTGTTGTTTTTTTCAGCAAATCTTGTAGATAATTTAGAAGACTTTCTAGGGTCAAAGTATTATTTACATTAGCAGATACCAGCATAAATGGTGTCACATCACTGACCGCACCTTGGCAAGCTGAAGCTCCAGCTCGACTCCCTGACTGATTTTCCGTAACATGAGGGAGGCCTGTCTCGGGCTGAACTGGAAGTCAGCTGCATGTAGAAGGAAATAAAGGTAAACATGCATGTGTGTGTGTGTGTGGAACCATCGCACAGGGATCCCGATGCCTCTACAGGAACCAGCATCATTCTGTGTGGCGTCCAGGACTACAGCACTGTTCGGCTCAGCAGCCACACTGGGACCAAACCACGACCCACTCTGACCATCGAACCTGCAACCTTCTCACCTGCAGTCTTACTCCTTAACCACTGACCCACTGTTGATACTCACCCTGTAGCATACTGAAGATCATTTCCATCACATTAGGAAATGGTGACACCAGCAAACCATCACAGAAAGCTTTCCCCTGCCTACAAACAAAGACACACATTAACCACTACATTTGAGTACAAATGAGGAACATCACAAGGAATTTGTTGTGGTGCCAACAATATTCACAGTACATATTTAGATTTAGCAGAGGCTTTTATCCAAAGCGACTTAAAAATGACCACCACCACCAAGTTTAGTCAAACTAGACTAGTAAACATGTTAAAGCGAGTGAAATGCAGAAAGGAAACTTTTTAATTAACCACAAATGAGTGAAACTTTTTCCAGTGGCCTCCATTCAGTTTTTACGACTGCCATTTACAAAAAAAAAGTTCAATAAAGTTACAAGCAATAAACCGAACTAACAAGCTAAAATTTGAAGTCATAGCCTTGCGAACTTTGATTTGAAGAAAAAAAAAAAGTGAAAATCAAAAGGTACAAGACTAAGTCACAGCTTCAATGAGGGAGGGAACTACAATCCAATAAGGCATTGCGATTAACAATCAAATTAAAACCAATGTTTTTGAACGAAAAAGTGATGTCGGTAATATATATACACAATATAAATATATACATATGCTTGTTAAGTAGTTAGAACGAATAGGGATACTGTCACTATTACGTCAATCGCAAGCCTTTATGTGGGCAATCAAAGAACCATGGGAAATGTAGTTTTAACCAGGAACTGTGCTTAGGTTTGCAAACATAAAATATTTATAAATTAATGTTTGACAATGGTTTGACACATGAAAATATGATTATTTTAAAATAAGTTGAAAATGCAGGCTTATGGCTTCAACAAAAGCATATGCCATCGATTAACAACGGTAGGTCTGTCTTTAACAGTTTATAAGTTATGAAAGTTAAGTCAATTCTCCTATGGAGAAATAGAAAGGGATTTTTAATTTTACACCCTCATGCATATGTAGTGTGACACATTCACTACATAGTAAATGTATGGTAGTATGGTAGGTGGAAGAGTGAATGAAAATGGACATTTCCAGACATAACACTTTGAAGGAGATTATACGAGATATATATATAAATATAAATAAATCTCGTTCTGAATTATGAAGTTAGGTACTTCATATTTGACCTGCCCAATCTGAATGTGACGCATTGTGATTCAAAAGTCAGACTGGACTGACAAGTAACACTGAGGGAATTACAAAATAAGTTACGAATAGGCATTTCTATCATAACCATCACAGCTCACACTCTGTAGGCAAACTTAAGGAGTCGATGGCCGTCCATCATCTGGATAATTTTGGTAAAGGACTCCTCGGGATAAACACTGTTGATCTGTCAGAAGAACATCTGTCACTATAAACGTCTGTTTAAACGGTAGGCTACAAAACATTAAAAGACGGCAGAGTCGACTTACCCATAACAACAGCGCTGCCTCCTTCACCTCATTCAACTGCATGATGGACACTTAAAATAGATGATGGCACAGAAAGTGGATTTAGAAGGATGCATATATTTGTGACCCTTGACCACAAAACCAGTCATAAGGGTCAATTTTTTTAATTGAGATTTGAATAAGCAAGCTTTCCATTGATGTATGGTTTGTTAGGATAGGACAATATTTGGCCGAGATACAACTATTTGAAAATCTGGAATCTGAGGGTGCAAAATAAAAAAAAAACATTTGAGAAAATCACCTTTTAAAGTTGTTCAAATGAAGTTCTTAGCGATGCATATTACTAATCAAAAATTAAGTTTTGATATATTTAAGGTAGGAAATGTACAAAATATCTTCATGGAACATGATCTTTACTTAATATCCTAATGATTTTTGGCATAAAAGAAAAATCTATCAGTATTGTTGCCTAATGCTACAAATAGGTATACTCGTGCTACTGATGACTGATTTTGTGGTCCAGAGTCATATTCATAATTTTGTAATTGTAAAAAAACAACAGTAAATCACATACTCAGAATCTGATTCAAATGCACAGCTGTCAGAAATCAAGACGACACATCAAATCAAGAGCCATTCATCTGATATGTCAGACAGTGTTGCCAAGTCCTCGGTTTTCCCGCGCCTTTGGGCTACTTCAACACTGTTGCCGCGGGTTGAAGCAAGCGACCCCAATAACCTGATACTTAGCGAAATAAATTTTAGTAGGTATACTCGTGCTACTGATGACTGATTTTGTGGTCCAGAGTCATATTCATAATTTTGTAATTGTAAAAAAACAACAGTAAATCACATACTCAGAATCTGATTCAAATGCACAGCTGTCAGAAATCAAGACGACACATCAAATCAAGAGCCATTCATCTGATATGTCAGACAGTGTTGCCAAGTCCTCGGTTTTCCCGCGCCTTTGGGCTACTTTAACACTGTTGCCGCGGGTTGAAGCAAGCGACCCCAATAACCTGATACTTAGCGAAATAAATTTTACCAGGGGAACCCCGCCAAAAACGTGTATTTTATCCCCCTGAACGCGATTTTTACCGGGGAACCCCCGTCGAAACGAGATTGAGCTAGTTTTGAGTTTTGTTGTGAACACCTGGCAACCCTGATATCAGCCCCTCCTCAGCGTTCCTTAAAATTAACATCAATAAACAAATACTGAATATTCATAACAGCAATTGTAACATGAAAAAAACTAAACTAAACTCTATTATCAACCGGTACAACAATGTTAGTTATTTAAAGACTCTTTACCACTTTAAACCGTGAAACGCGACCTTATGACAGTTTCCAACATACATATCTATGGTTTCAAACACTTAAAGCCAGCGCGAGCAGATAGTTTGGTTAATCTTCGATCAATAACAGTAGGCATAATTATACAAATTAAAGAATGAGAGATGTTTACCGTAATCTTATGATTAAACAACAGACCTGTGCAGTAGTCTTGTCACCTACAACACCTCATCAACAACGATAATAAACGACGCAGCACGCGCTCATTAGTAATGTGTAATACTTCTTCCTCTATGTTCATTGGCTGTTATAAATTACGTGACCAATGGAAACACTCCTTTTCTCGAAACGTCATTTTAAAAATAATAAGTGATATAAAGTTTATAAATTCTTAGAATAAATGTGTTTATAAATAAACCCGTAAAAATCAAGAAACATAAATCACAGACCGTATCCTTATCCTTGGGAATGGTTGGGAGTCGCAATGTTTTTCTATCATATATATTTATGTGTATCATATGTGTGTATGTATGTGTGTGTATATATATATATATATATATGTATGTGTGTGTATGTGTATATATATATATATGTGTGTATGTATGTGTGTGTGTATATATATATATATATATACATACAGTGTGTGTGTGTGTTTGTATGTATGTGTGTGTGTATATATACTGTACATATATATACATACACACGCACACATATATACATACATAAACACCTATATACATACACACACATACATACATATATACACACACATATATATATATATATATACACACACATACATATACACACCTTGCAACGTGTACTGCGTTAGGCTAACCGAGACTTGTCATTTGCACTTATATATTGTTGCTCTTTTGTTCGTTTTGACTGCTTTTATTGTCCTCATTTGTAAGTCGCTTTGGATAAAAATGTCTGCTAAATGACTAAATAAATAAAATAAAAATATATTTTAGTAGTTATAAATTAGATGAGGTTAGCATTCGAAAGCTTGAACACTCAAAATTCATCATCTGGAAACCTTGTTAGAATTGAATTCGAAGTTCTTAAACTATGCAAATTATTCTAATACTAGCAATAATAATAATAATACTGCCTACATGTGTAGTCTGCTTGTTCATATACAATAATTTGTTACCCAACTATACACTTCAGCTTGAATGCAATCCTCTGATAATCAAGAGCTTGACTGTTAAAAGAACATTAACAGGTAGTTTATCACATCTGAAAACAAATGACAACTCAAATTTCATAAATTCAGATTATGAATCCCAGTAGGAATACTTTTTATTGAACACCTGGTTGTCTGAAGATTTCACACAAAATCAGCAGTTTAATATCTTTTGGTTTTGTTGCATTTCTAATACGGAACACTTTTACAGTCTCTCATAATCTGCTCAGCTTGTGAACTCATATTGAACACATTTCACATCAATTCTGGTACATGCATTATCTCAATTTTCCAAAAACTGAAAATTCTTAAAAGATTTTTCTCAAATATTGATGTCTTTAATTGTTCACATTTTTAATATACAAGCCGAGTTCTTCAACCTCCAAAATATATCTTGCAACTGTAAATTTAAATTACACGTTTTAAAAAGGTAAAAAATTATACATCTCATTATATAGCTAATTTATTCTTTATTAAACTCGAATAGCTTTAATGAACAATAATGAAGCAATGAACATTAAACAGAACTGTGAAAACCACGGTTTCTGCAAACACTCTTAGTGTATATTAACTTTCAATAGAAACGTATCTGCATTCATACATAAACTGCTTCTATTTAGCAACAGCAGAAAAGCCTGTCAAAGATTTGATATAAAAGACTTTATTACAGAACAAGGAATACACTTAAATATTATACAGCCAGTTACATAAACAGGACAGTAATTAAGACCACTGCATCCCATAATAATAAAATAACTTATTTGAAGAGAGAAAAGAAAAACAAAAAGTTAAAAAGAAGGTTTTGGAGTTAAAAATCCTCAAATTTACACCTTAATCCTGATCTTCACCTGAGGAGAGAAAGAGAGAGGAGTCAGGAGATTATTCAATGCACTGAAATACATATGAGAATGAAAATTAGAAATTACAATTGAAATAGGATGACAAATCACATTTTGAAAGTGAGACACTAGATGTTACTCTAGAATAGATCTGGAGTTACACTAACACCAGAAATGCAGTGAGACCACCACCAAACCTACACAGAACTCAACTGTGATTTTTCTATATCATGTATATTGTTCTACATAGCCTATATTTGCATGTATATCAGTGGACATGACCACTATTGGTAATTACATGCAAAAAAGACGAAAACACACACAATAGAATAGATCTGGAGTTACACTAACACCAGAAATGCAGTGAGACCACCACCAAACCTACACAGAACTCAACTGTGATTTTTCTATATCATGTATATTGTTCTACATAGCCTATATTTGCATGTATATCAGTGGACATGACCACTATTGGTAATTAGACGAAAACACACACAAAAAACCTGAGCAAACAAATACATGGAGAAACTCAAGTACAGAGACACCGCAAAAGGTGAGTTTAGATGTTTACATTTGCTGAGCAATTACTATAGAAATTATTAACTGATGTTCAGCCATGTAACAACTTCAAATGTGGTTAATTTGGTTGGAACTGATCTAATATTTAATGTTATGCAAATACTTAAAAACAAAAGACTAAGCATTATAAGGCTGATGCCAGACTTTTGCTTTAGCTGAAAAAATTAAGTACATTTCATTTATAGGGGTTTGCATTGAATGTATTATCCAAAAATTACCATAAAAATGTCCTTTTTGCAAAATTTCATGAAATAAAATTAGGTCACTCTGGCCACCAAACTCACAAAGCCACAGTTCATTTTAATGAACTGAATAGTTCACCCAAATATTTGCTGGAAATGTACTCCCTTTCAAGCCATTCATAATGTAGATGAGTCTATTTCTTCATCAGACTTGGAGAAATGTAGCATTTATGATGGACTTGCTCAGCAATGGATCCTCTGCAGTGAATGGGTGCCGTCAGAATGAGAGTCCAAACAGCTGATAAAAACATCACAATAATCCACACCACTCCAGTTCATCAGTTAATGTCTTGTTAAGACAAAAGCTGCGTGTTTGTAAGAAACAAATCCATCATTAAGATGTTTTTATACTTATAACTTTTTTCTGGTTATTTCCTTTATCCATAACATTGCTCTCTCTAATGAAAAAGTCATATTGTCTGACTCGGGAGAGAAATATGCACAGATCAATTACTGATTTCAAATAAAAGTGGTCCAAAACATTTCTAAGTAAATATTTTGGTAAATTTTAATGCGAGGACAACAGGTGATGGACTTTTTCCACTGGAGGAAGCGTTATTATGGATTTGTCCAGAAGTGACCATTTAAAGCAGGGGTGCCCAAACTCGGTCCTGGAGGGCCGGTGTCCTGCAGGGTTTAGCTCCAACCACAATTAGACACACCTGAACCAGCTAATCAAGCTCTTACTAGGTATACTAGAAACTTCCAGGCAGGTGTGTTGAGGCAAGTTGGAGCTAAACACTGCAACACACCGGTGCCCTCCAGGACCGAGTTTGGGCACCCCTGCTTTAAAGTTAAAACGTCTTAATGATGGATTTTTTATTATTTTTTTTACAAACAAAAAGCTTTTGGCTTCTGTAGATTAACATAAAGACATTAATTGATGGACTGGAGAGGTGTGGATTACTTGTGGATTATTGTGATGTTTTTATCAGCTGTTTGGACTCTCATTCTGACGGCACCCATTCACTGCAGAAGATCCATTGGTGAGCAAGTGATGCAATACTACATTTCTCCAAACCTGATGAAGAAACAAACTCATCTGCATCTTGGAAGGCATGGGAATGAGTAAATCTTCAGAAAATGTTCATGTTTGGGTGAACTATTCCTTTAACACCAGAGGGTGAGTGAAATAATACCACAGTGGAAAGACACCAGCAGTGTTAAGTATTACAGCCACACATAACAGCAGACACATACAGTTAAATACTTAGGCATAGATTAGTGGCGTGAGTCACTGTGTTTCCTAAACACACACAGCAAATGCGTTTAATACACCTGCAATTTCAATCCACAAATGTTGGAATTTAAAAAAATAAAAATTTTGAATGCATTATATTTACCATGGCATGTTCTACCATCTGGGACTGCATATCAGATAATAAGTAAAGCCACATGGTTTTGGTTAATGACTACAGAGAGCGTTTTCCTACGCAGAAGTGTTTATTTACCTTTTTGGCATTGGAGGATTTGGGGGATTTGTTTCGGGGAGACTTTCTCAGAGTGGAGTCCAGAGGAGACTTTCCGGCCACCACCGAACGCAGGGCACGACTGGCCATGGCGGGAGATTTGCGGGCGCTGTTACGCAGCTTGTTGAGGCCGCGCTGCAGCCTGCTGTCACCACGACCGCTGTTCTTTGGAGTATTTACAACACTGAACATCACAGACTGCCTTCGCTCGGCCTGCAGATGAAAGAAAGTGAGAAAAAACAATTATTGTTACTTTATGAAATGCACTCTTTAACAACAACATAACATAAAATTTGAGTAAAGTTGGCATGAGCAATTTTAATAAATTAAGTAAGCAAGTTCACGATCAATTAAAGTCTAGGTTAGTAACAACCACAGACGTCTAATAAAAGTATCTTACCGGTGAGTTTGGAGGTCTGTTTTGACTGTTGCCGAACCTGACTTTAGGTGTCATTGGTCGCGGGAAGCAACTTGCCAGCTTCTTCGTCTGTGAAAACACCATTACTTGTGAACAACAGTTTTACATTTTAGTAACATTTACAGTTTATTAGAACCAATTCTGAAATTCTGGTCCTATAAATTGAGCTCTATTTTTCCCCCCAAATTCTGTTTGTTTTTTATCCATTTAAATTTTTCTGGTTTAGTTTTAATGGTTCAATTTGTTCCCAAATACCTTTTTATCTCTCCCAAATTCTGTGATTTTTTCCCCCATTTTAATTTTTCTGGATTCTGTTTTAATGGTTTAATTAAACTTTAATAAACAGAAAGCATGTCTAAAAAAAATGTAATTCATTGAATTAACTTTTTAAAAATCTTTTATGATAATAGGGCCCTATGTTTTATTTTTCCATAAATTCAGTGTTGTCCATTTACATTTTTCTGGATTTATAATTTAATACACATTTCTCAAAAAATTGTGTTCATCAAATATTAACCTTTTGATTAATCTTTTAAAATTTAGTCAAATGAAAATTTAACAATTTATAATTTTAAAATTCCTTTGGTTTAAATTTTTTTTTTTGTGCAAACAAATCAAAACAATTAAAAAAAATAGTGTTATCTAAGATTATTAAAGGGGTGGTTCATTGCGATTTCACTTTTTTAACGTTAGTTAGTGTGTAATGTTGCTGTTTGAGCATAAACAATATCTGCAAAAGTTACGAAGCTGAAAGTTCAATGCAAACGGAGATATCATCTTTTAAAATTCTGGCAGTTTAATGCCTACAAAACCGGCTGGTAGGGACTACAACAAGTTACTTCCCGGGTTCGTGACATCACAAACCCAGATAAACCCCGCCCTCGGGAAAAGGCAGCAAAGGGGGCGAGGCCATGCTGTGCTGCTTTAGAGAAGAGGAAGAGAAAACTAGAGGAGCACGTAAAAATCTATTCATAATGAATCGCGATTCTGTCTTCCAACGATTCTAATGGATTCACAAGTTTCAAAATCAATGTTCTAAAGCAGCGGTTCTTAATCCTGTTCCTCGCGTCCCCCTGCTCTGCATCTCTCTCGCTCCCTTTCTCTCTCTCTCCCTCTCATTCAACTCAGCTCCAACAATGAACTGTTCCAATTATACACAGCTATGAGAAGCGTTAAACATGGACGCGCATACAGTTGCCGTACTGTATTATAGCTTTAATCAGGATAAAACCGTATATTAAAAGCTAACAGAAGCAGTAGCATTTATAAATAAGTATCTAAAAGTATGAGACCACAACAAACATAAAACATAGGCCTACCATTAAAAGCCATGCTTGCACAGGTTCTGCACGATCCACTTCAATAATATCCTCTGCTTCTCAATCGGGCTCAAACTGATAAGCGATATTAAGGACGCCGTTGTTTACAATGCCACCGGAGCACATGCAGCTGAGGTGAGGGGCGGGCAGTTTAGACATGCACTAGAGGCGGTTTAGCCAATCACAACACACTGGGTTAGCTAACCAATCAGAGCCCATCGCCTATTTCTGAGGGTGGGGCTTCATCAAAGCAGGAAATGTGGAATAAAGGTAAATTATGTGAAAAAGAATAGTGATGTAATAGTCATATATGTGTCACATTTGTTTTATTTTAAAGGTTGTTGTGAAGAAGTGACTCTCAGAGCTGCTCAACCAACTGGTCAATACTTGCCCCTTCATATTCTCATACCTCAGGTGTGTCTGGGCCTTGCAGTTGAGAGCCGGGGCGTTTGGGAGCCAGCGGGCTGCGTTTATTTTCTGAAGCACGTAGGTTTGAACTTGTTTTTGTGTGCTGAGCGGCCCGGTGAGCAGCAGTGCTGGACCGGATCTGACCCGGCAACATGGTGGCGCGCTGGGGCTGGGAGGCGGCAGAGCTCTGGCTCGAACTTGGCGCAAGGGAGAAGCGGCGAGTGTTCAGGGACTCCTGGATCTCACATGGCATCATGGATGCACGTCGGATCGTCTCATCTGGGTCACCCATTCGCAGGTCCTCATCCGTTACAGTGAATGAGGGTCCCAGACTGGGCTGTCGAGACAAAACGATAGTTTGACTCTGGTCTTCTACAAACAATGCAACAAAAGCAAACTATTCCAAGCTTACCCTGGACTCTAGAGGGTAGCTGCTCTTCAAGTGAGGCAGACAAGCTTTGTTTCGCGTCTGTAGTTCTGCGATGCGCATCCAGTCATCTGCAGCATGTTCAGGTTCATTCTCTGCTCCAATACAGAACGTACTAGTGGCTACACAACACACAAAATAAGTTATTATATTACTATTATATTAAAGGGATAGTTCACCCAAAAAAGAAAATTCTGTCATTAATTACTCACCCTCATGTTGTTCCAAACCCGTAAGACCTCCGTTCATCTTTGGAACACAAATTAAACACAAATTTTTGATGAATTCTGAGAGCTCTCTGACCCTCCCATAGACAGCAATGCAAGTAACACGATCAAGGTCCAGAAACATAGCAAGGAGATCGGTAAAATAATCCATGTGACATCAAGGGTTCAACCGTAATTTTAC